GACTATTGACACGCGCAAAGAGACAATAAATAGATTCTTCTTTTATTAAATTTCAAATGTTTTACTTTGACAAGAACTCTGAATAACATAATGTACATATTCATGTAAAATCAATTCCGTTTGTAGTAATGAACGTACATACATGTACAGGATACTTATTTTCACATGCATTAGATATCTATCTCTAGTCGAATTATTTCCTTGAATATTGTGTATTAATGTGTAATTAGTAAAATTTCATTTCAGTTTATTATATGCTCTCTAGATCTTTTCTTGCATCACCACATGATTCGAAGTACCATGAAATCTCATACTATCAAAATATAGTCGCTACTGAAAAGAAATTCCATCTAATGGGTATTTAAATCCAATTTGCTTGCCCTTCATGAATATCTACAAATATGGTCCGTTCAGGTATCCATACTTTCTTAGGTGATCAAAACAAAAACATCGAAGGTTGTTATTTTTCATCCTGATAGTTTTATGTACTTTTTCACACCAATAAATTACATTTCAGCGACCCCCCCCCCCCCCTCCCCAAACTCTTGAACTGTTCTGATTATATTTTTTGACAATCCTTTCACTCTTAGATAATTTGATAACTGAATATTTTTTTAATATTTGTTTCCTTTTTAGTTTTAAGATCGATTTTTCTAAAACTGAGTGGGTTTTTTTTTAAATGTATGTAATTAGACTCTACTTCCATTGTTAAAAAAATTCCAGGAAGTGTAAAACTTTCTCACCTTTCGGGTGCTCGCCACAAACACCACAGATCAGTAAAATAGCTGTAACCAAGGCAAAAACTGAAACAGAGTTAATTAAAAAATCCCCCATCGTAACTCGTGAAATTGCTGAAACGGTTCCTAGTCGTGGATTTACTTATAAACAAAATTTAGAAAACAAGATCACGTGCAGATGACATTGGATCTACTTTCGGTTGAGATGATTCTGCGTCATCGGTCTTTCTACGGAACGCTGTCACTGACCTCATTAAAACATATAGGCTTTAATCTAAGCTTTTTGGTCATTCAAATATTATAGTAGCCATTAAATTATAATTTGAAGGGGTTAATTATTGGGATACTAGGAATATATTATTTTTTTAAGTACTGGGAGTATAGAGTTCACTGATGATGCCGCTTAAAATTGACCATTTCGATTTTATATATATGTAAGCTAAAGGAGGTTGGGTTACAGAAAAATATGAACAGATTTCAGATGAAATCACATTTATGAGAGAGAGAGAGAGAGAGAGAGAGAGAGAGAGAGAGAGAGAGATTAATGGACCACAACACATGGGGGCAGATTTCGAGAAAGAAAATTTCAAACCTGAACACATGTTACCAGTACCCAAACAAAGGTGTTGAATGTTACTCAATCAGAAAAAGCTCGATTCTTCTTAATATCCATAAATGTTTTGAATCCTCATGTAGAAGTGATCAACCTGTTAGACATTACAGCAAGTCCTATATACATAATTATGATCTCCCATAGAGATTTGATGACCCAGACAAAGATTTGTCGGATGCCAGACTTTCACAATTCCTGGGTGTCTGAAAAGGTAAGTACTGTGTACAAATATATATATTCACTTTTTAATTCTTTCTTAAATACCGGTATTTTGTACAATATGATGTTATAATCCCAATACAGGTGTATCAAATTCACAGTTGCATTTTTAAAGATAATTCATTATTATTATTATTTTTTTTGTTGCATATTTTTTATTTAATTTTAAAAAATTGCAAAAGTAAAATTTTAAACTGGTTTGTAGGTTGACTTGTACGTAAGAAATGAAAGACCCTAAATATGCAGCTATAGGTCTGGAAAAAAAGATCGGAAATAGACAAGAGAGGCGAGTGTATATTCATCAACTAAAAGAGGAAGTAGACAATCTTAAAACATTAAAAATATTTCACTCACACACTCCCACCCTCCTCTCACTCAACAATATCCTCGCTCACACACCCTCTCTCTCTCCAACTCACTCCCTTTCTCACTCCCAATTCTCTCTTTCCCACCCCCTCTCTCTCCCTATAACACCTCTCTCCCACTCACAACCATCCCTTTCTCTCTCCCACAACTCTCTCTCTCTACCACTCATACCCTCTCTCTCTCCCACTCACACAACCCTCTCTCCCCAACTCACTCTCTCTCCCACCACTCTCTCTCACACTTACACCCGTCCCTTTCTCTCTCCCACTCACACAACTGTCTCATCCTCATTCTCTTGCTCACACTCTCACACCCCTCGCTTTCTATATCTCTCTTCCTCGCACCCCATCTTCGCCGACTCCTCTTTCTCTCTCTCAAACTCATCACTCACTCACTCATCTCTCACTTCCTCCAACACTATGTGTTTGTGTGATAGGTTATGTATATACGAGTGCTGACTTCGTGTTCCCATTTTAAGGAACACCTTTATTTCTATTCTAAAGTAAAATAAAACTTTAGTATCTTAAACTGATTGAAAAGTTTTAGTGTTTTAGGTCTGCGTATTCTATATTATTGCTAAGATATGCAAAAAGCGTTTAAATGATGGAAATAATTTTACAAATATTTATCATTAGTATTATTTAGAGTACGAGTTTCCTACTGTATCAGAGATACAGGGCGGGGCTTGAGGCGAGAGCGATAGCTCGATACAGTAGGAAACGAGTATTCTAAATGACTTGTGACATGACCTCTCTAATGACCTCACCAATTTACATTCATATTTGGGTACATATCTCTCAACCAATCAGATGATTTTAGCAGAAAGTTGATTTAGTATCCCATTTTTTAAAGCATTCGCAACTGAAATGCCGAGTGAGGTGGACGTGCAGGTAATTATTTACTATTATTTTAAAAATAATTATTTGAGGGATGCATTATATAATTTGTTTTCCAAAAAATTAATTTAGATTTGATTGGGTAGGTTTCTTTTTTTTTCTCAATTCAGCTCTTGCTGACATTTTTTTTTTAATTTAAGCTATGAATCAATGCAAAACATTTTACATATTTTGAAACAAAAATGCTTCGGGGATATCGTATACTGAGAGAAACCTCCGACAATATCCTCTAACCTGTAATCATATACAAAATTGAAATAAACATTTTACTTTCATGTTTTTAATAAAATGTAGAGTAACCAAAGGGGGGTCCAGTACTCACAGGTCCCCCCCCCAATCCCACCCAACTTAAATTTTTTTTTTCTTTTTTCGCTTTTGTAAATTATTTTTGCCAATCGTATATACATAATCTTTTTAATTTATCAACAAGTAACGATTTCACGCACATAGTGTCTTGGTTGATTATAAACCTACACCCCCCCCCCCAAATACGATTTTCAGTGGTTTTTTAGGGGGGGGTCAAGGTAGTCCTTTTGGATCTGCCCCACTCCCTCCTTTCTAAATTTTTTGAATCCGACACTCATGTAAGTTTATTTTGCAAAATTTTATTCTTAATAAAATCACCTCAAATTTTGAGTAATTACTAACAGTGCTATCATGCGAATTGAACGATTCTTGTGTCTGAATATGAATACAGCTTTCCGTCATCGCTAAAAATAAACCGTACTGTATCGTTGATATTTTGCAGATACAGTACAGTTTCTGCTCATTTGCATAAGAAACGCCCACAGAAAGTGTTCTGTATCGCAGTTACAGTATGCTTGACTTCAAAGGAAAACTCGCCGGGTCATGTCACAAATAATTGTGTGGAATATTGTTGAATAATTTAATTTCCAAATAAATGCCCCTCTTTACTTTTTATCGACGAGGTAAACCATAAAAACGCGCTACTGACGTATCTACTACGTTTATCCAAGAACAACCACCGATACCACTTAATAGTATGCATGTCATCCCGAATAACTCCATAAAAGAATTACATATAATAATACATGTATTTATCAAAAATAGAAATTTGGGGCATGTTCTATTCCTTAGTGTTTTTAACATATGGGTAAATGTTACACAAAACGCGTATTCAGATTTCCGTTTGATATAGTCCCTAGGTTACACTGATTCCCGTACGGAATTTTTTGAATAGAAGTGTTAATCGATTTAAAATTATTGGGCCAATTACTTGCACCGTTTACTTAACATCGAGTCATTTTAAAGCATGTTTACGAGATCTTGGAATGCATTCATTGAAATTTTATTTTTTAATTTTTTACTATGTTAATCAATTTGAATAAACCTATCTACATGTTAACCTCTTCATTTTAAATTTATCAGGTTATTTTTCTAAACTTTACATCCAGTTCAACCCCCTTTTTTATAGAATTAATATAACTGTCATTTATGATTACGACAATATATACATGTACAAACTCTGTACTTGATTTTTTTAAACATCTGAACCCTTCATCCAACATGCACTAATCTATATGGCATATACGATTATTACCTTTACGTATAAATTATGTATCCATTTCATTTTAAACTTGAGATAACATGATGTATCTTTATTTGAATAATGATCCACCTTCACATGTTATCATCTCTAGTTTTTACGATAGGATTAGAGGTCACATGACATGTTCTTTTTCACATGACTGCGGATGCGATCGGAAGCAGACATGAATTCTATTTGGATTGTCTGTTGTGTCCTTATTTCTCAGAGTTTAGCATATAAAACATGTAAGTACATAGCTATTTTACTTACTACTAGTCTATAAACATTTTTACGTCCAAGATGAATGACATAGGGAGGGTTTACAAATTGATCATAAGTGTGTCCAATTTAAAACGTGATCTTTCTAACCTCGTATGCCATTAGGTGAGTGTCTGTGGATGAGAACCATCTATATTTATAAAATATTTTTATACAATAAAAATGAAAAGATGTAAATATTGAAATTTGAAGCTTAAACTGTTACGAAAGATCACTTTTGCTGCAAATATAATCACAAAATTGGAAGATTACCTTTACGGTGAAATGTATAAAAGGTCCTTAAACATTTAATTTATAAATTCATTTTAAAAACATTATCTTCCTAAATTTAAAAGAAAGAAACAAACAAAATATTCTTACTGTGTCATAAGAACAGTGCATGGGTTTATTTTTTCTGGAAATACACTCAGTTGTAGAATTTTAATATGCATGTAAATCATTCATTAGCGAAATATCTGGAAAGACTGTGAGAAGTGCTTAACGAGAATCATTCGCCGAGATCGTCTTTGACAATCATCTCAAAACTTCATTCTTTCAATTTCTTTTTAGATTATCTTGACGAAAATTGCGGTAAAACTCTAGATGTAGACACATATTTCCGACTTCAGGCGTCCAGAAAGACCAATCTGCAGTCCGGTTTGAACTGTACCGTGGACCTTTTCGCCAGGTCAGGGAAAATCGGGGGTTCTGCGAGAATCCTCGCTCGCTTCCTTAACATCAACATGCCTTTCTCTTCGGCTGTATCAGGGTGTGACAGAGTCAAGCTAGAGCTCCACGATGGAATTAGAAATGCAACGCTGCTCACACGTAAGACTCAAATCCCCCTTGCGTGATACGACATATAATCATGTGTTTACATTTTCTTCCGACCATAAGGTTTTCTTAGTTTTATACCATATATAATTTGTAACTAAGTCATGATGGCAAAAAATAATCAAGTAAAACTGGCCTCTCACATTAAGTGTTGTATAAGCATAGTTTTGAAGTGAAGAACTAAGTTTGGTGAAATTGTGGACCCTGGGCCTGTGGTGGAGCCACAAAAGGGGGTCAATTTTAATAAAAATATGTGAGTTACAAGAAAAGTTTATACAAATGTAAATATTATTGCCTGAAAAAGCTTGCAAACATTTAGTCAATGACACATCGATGTATAAATTCAAACCATTTTCTCGCTGGACTTGGGCCATAACAAGGACGAAAAATCCTTACAGTAGCTTCATTATTTGGTGAGCTTGTAGGAGAGGTTTTTATCTTCCAGTACATTATGTACTCTCTTATGTCAGTAAAAAATACAATTTAGTTCATATGAGCATTGTGACCTATAGGCCTGTTGCATTCATATAATCGTCATTATCAATCTAAATTAATATAAGTACAAATAAGATCGAATAATTTTTTCTGCAGCCCCCAACGGACTTTGTGGAGACTCCTTTTACAACACATACAGCTACGTCACTGTCAAGGACAGCTTTATGACCTTTACCTTGACAACGAACCCTTCACCCCAAACCGGGTCATTTGATGCTATCATCACGAATTTTCACGAAGTTGAAGGAGGTAATTCTATTAACACTTAATCTAAGTATGTAAAGTTCAATTTTATATGTCGAGATCCGATATTTCTTGCCCTTTGTATTCATACATTTCAAATGTGTTATGTAATATGTTTACTCCGAAATTTCTTGCTCTGTTTTGAATGGGCAAATGCTCCTAAATCTTGATCATTTAATATTGTTTTATTACATGTAACGCAAAATTAAGATGATAAATGTCTAAATAACTGGTGGAAATGTGGAAATGGTCGTTGTGTGGATCCGTCAACCAAATGCAACTCGTTTGATAACTGTGGAGACAACACTGACGAGACGTACGAGAAATGCAAACCAACAAGTAAAAGATCTTTTCAGAGTAGTCGTAGTCATTTTGGAAAAAGACTATTTCAATATTTTTAGCTTGTGTCTATATATCAATTGTCTTTGGCATGTTCATGATATTATCAATAAAAATGAGTTCTAAACATACAACAATTATAAATTCTCCTATCTTCAAACTTTCAGTGTATTTCTATGAAAATTGTGGACAAGAAATCCATGTTTATGATGCTGTCCATTTAAAACTGAAGCGAAGTGGCAATATGTTGATACCTAACACTGTGTGTGACAATATTGTGGTGGCCCACGGGAAATCACAGGGTATTGGCCAGCCTGCGCAAGTTTATGCCCATTTCCGGTCCATCGGCCTTCCACAGCCTGTGTCTGGAAATTGCACCTCGGCTAGGATTGATGTCTACGATGGATTACGAAATAAAAAGAGAATATCGGGTAAATGTATTTTCAATAGGCTAAAATAACAAGTACAGTGTATGTAATAATTTGCCAGCACATGACATACGTTGTCATCATCCAAAAGTGCATTGTAGGTCTTTAAAACTTGCAATTAACGTATTGCTTTTGGTCTTTAATTTTTCAGATGGTGAAGGATTATGTGGTACTGCCTTATCAAAATCCGACTTCTCCACAGAGAGTGATAATTTTATGCCTATTGAATTCACCACAGATTCAACCTCACAACAGGGAAATTTTGAAATAACACTCACTAGCTTTCATACGGGTTAGTATTTCACATTCCTTTTTTAAGACCAGTATTTTTTTTAAGGTGATGGTATTGTTAGATGCAGAAAGATAATCAGTATAATGTTAGAAAATTTCTGTTCATTGGGAGCTGGACATCTATTAAAGGCGACTAAACTGCTTTCTTTTCCAGTTTCCTTTTCTTTGTAAGAAAAATCAAAGAGGGGATCCCCTTCTCCTAAGTCCCTGAACCCTTTTGCACTCCTCGACCACTGGCTTAGGTGTATCACCCCTACTAATGTGTTCGGAACCTTCTTTTTTTCGGTGTTCTGCAAATTATAAAATCCGATGAGTTCAGAGTAGCTCTGACAGTGGCTCTGGCGAGAGTTAGCGAGATTTCAGCGAGATAGGGTAAATTATTCACGGAAATGTGGCTAGGAAGTGACTAGCACGTGGAGTCATGGTAAACAGAAAAATTATGTTGCGTTTTAGTTTCCACCATCCTATAATATCATTCTGTAGAAATGTACTTCAATAGATCTCTCTTGAATTCATTCAAGTTTAAATTATAAGTATTCTTTATGATACAATTTTCTGCTATCAAGAATTAAAATTTCTTTTTGGACAAATTTTTGGCATGGGAAACGGGACTATATTTTTTGGCGTCAGATTAGCAAATGAGGCACCAATGTGACTTGTGACTTTAACTGACAAATCAGCCTGATTTGAAATCAGCTGAATGAGAATTGCATTATGGGTTACAACATACAAACATTCCTTTATTGTACGGTGAATACAATTGTCAGGTAGATTCCCTGGCCAACACACGTGATAACGAGTATAGTTACGTAAAAAAATGTTTTGTCCATTTAAATGCATACGAGAAGGATGCTCGTTTTCCTTATCCTTGGAGTGCTGGTGTTCTGAACTTGACACTAACTACGTATACATTTTATAAAACATATTTTGCTCTAGTTAACAACAAATTATAAACGCCCGTGATATCTTTCATAGTTTCTAATGTTTGCATTTTGTTCATAAGAACATTTTTTTATTTTGCACTCCATTGACATGATCATAGATTGACCTGAACCACGTGTTCGAAGTAACATGTAAACATGTATTTGGCGTAAACGTATTCAATCAACAATTGGTCAATTGCTCGTGGTAATATCCTCTGTGCGCATTAATAGCAAAAGCCGTATAAGGCAAACAAAGGATTGTCAGTGTAGATAATTTTACACATTTTTTTTACCAGCGTATCGGTCGCTATTGAGCTGTAATTTTTGTAGTAAACTACGATTAAGATGTATTAATTTTTATTCAACCCTCCCGTCCCCCTTTAGCCACCCATTTCTCTTGAAAATCATGAAAGTCTTTCAGAGTGGTCTGGAAACACATTTTTCACAGGACATGTTTTCAGAAGAAACAGACTATAGCAATTTCCTGTTTACTCCCAATTTTATATATAAAACCGGTTCTACCCTATAACCTTTGAATAGGTAAACCTAAACCACGTGTCTTGAATTTAAATCACAATAACATTAGTAGGGGTGTGTATGACAGTTTTAAAAAATGCACATACGCATTTGCATGACATCTTCTAAATATTTATACACATTAATATTTTACAGGAGACTGTATATCAGGGGAGTTCCGTTGTAGGAACGGACGGTGTGTGGACACTACAGTACAGTGTGACGGTTACCAGAACTGTGGTGACAATAGTGACAATGACAGTGAACTGTGTGATATCGTCACGGCCCTGGCCACGGGGGCCATTGTCGCCATCGTGTTGTCCGCCATCTTCCTCGTTATATTTGTCCCAATCTGTTGTATTGTTCTTATAGGGAGACGTCGAAGGAGTAATTACTCTGGGATATAAACTTCTGTATTTATTTAAAATATTTTCATTAATATGTGTCTCTTGTCATAATTTCAAGACAATAGTTTATCATGTGGTGATATTAATGTCAAGTCATTGAATGAGTTATAAAAGTGTACTTATGGCAACAAATACTAATACATTTATTAATCATACACAGACGATAATGGTTATATGTTTAAATTTAGTGACAAGCGTTGTATGAAAAAAATGAGAAGGAGGTTACAAATATACGTTTTTACTGCTTTTCGGGGCATCTACCTGTAACATCAAATAAACTTTTAAAAAAGACTTTGATCTGTATTTTGTTGTTGCATTACAACCTCCATATGCTTCTCTCTGCTTGCACTACTTTTTCAATGTCACATTCCCAGTCCGAAGCTTCATCAACGAACCATTGGCGTGCATCTTTCAACATTTGCTTCCGTGGTAAATCTTCCACGTCTGCCCAATAATTTCGAACAACGTGCAGTTTTCTATGAAGATTATACTGCACGTCTGCAGTTCGAAAAAGAGGAGCTCCGTACCACCTGTCGTCTGCTACAAGGTCAGTGGTGAGTAAATGATGTTTCACTCGACCGAACCTCTGCCGCACAAGCTGCGAAAAATAGTTCCTTTCATTTTCACTTTCAGAAATAGTATAAATGTCGGGTCGCACAAGTCTCTTTAGTATTTCATCAATCATGACAATATATTGACTCCAAAGTCTTCTTACCTCTGGAACGGCTTTTAAATATGAAAAACCGATGTCTAAGTCAGACGACCTCTTGGAAAACGTGGCGATTACACTATTTACTTCTTTTCTATTGCTTATTATTGATTCCAACAGAACAATTGGGTCTTGTAACCACACTGTGTCGACTCTAAACAAAAGAACTTTAATTCCTGCTTCTAAAACTGCTTGCACTGCTTTAGCCAAGTATTTGCTGCATCTCAAATGTTTCTCCCTATCTTTATAAGGAAATATTTCATTTTCAATCGAGAACACGTGAATAGATGACCATTTTCTGGTCAGTTCTCTTTTCACGATATCAGAGGAAGTTAACATAATAACATTTTGATACAAACCGTAATCGGCAACATTACACAACCAGTTGTTTGCAAAAGCAAGGCTGTCATTGGTCAGAAACGTCAATAAAACTGGTACTTCCGCTGTATCCATTACCTTAGCAAGCGCAGAAATCTTTAAGATGAAATTAATATGTTTTTTCGGTTCAATTGGAGGACTGGTGGCTATCGGCGTCTCGGTAGTGGAGAACTGTTTAACTTCATATTTTGCTGCAAAAGGGAATTTCTGCAGGATCAGAAAAGTAATAGATGAACATGTCAACCACATTACAATGTAAAATGTTCTTTTCCGATGGACCAAGCGTGACAAGCTCATAGCTATAGAGATATATGGAAGCTATAGAGTGGAATCTCTTTCAGTTTCCTTGAGTTCTCAATGTTGAATGAATTGTTTAAATGTCAATTTTAATTCTGTTGATAATATTCTTTATATAGAGCATATACAAGTGTGTTAAATCAATATGAAATGTTAGTTAAGTTACAGTTTTCACATTTTGGGGCTGGCTTGAATATTGAAAATCAATTCATTTACTTTGTATTTAATTGTTCAACTGTACAACTTAAAGCTGCAGAACTGTTGCGTTATGGTTTTATATATTAGTCTTTGACCATTACACTACAGATCCCGTAATGCAAAAAAATGTGCAATTTACGGCGCAAGATTTTTTGCGCACTGTTTGGGAAAATTTCTCCACTTTCCAACATTGGTAAATCATCTACATGTACATTTCCCTCCTTAATTCTATACACATTTTTAAATAAATTTGTATATTTAATACAACCTCAACCCTTTATACAGTCGTCTCTACAAGCGATAAACTCGCTTGAATTAGAATTTTTTGCAATCCCTCAGACAATTCATGGTTATGATTCAAAGACCAATATATAAAACCATAACGCTACAGTTCTGCAGCTATACAAGTTATAGATGCCTTCTTTCTCATTCCTCCAAAAAAGTACTTATCTAACAAACGTTTGTTTTTATGAAATCAGTGTACACGTATTTGTATTCAATACAGATATAAATATAACGAAGCCTGGCTTTGAAGTACTTGAAAAGAAGATTTTAAAAGGTTTCCCTATATGTTCCTATGTAAAACTTTCACATTATTTTTTCGGGGGTCATGATTTGAACAAACTTGAATCTACACTACCTGAGGATGATTCCACATGAGTTTCATCTTTCTGGCCCAGTGGTTCTTGAGAAGAAGATTTTTAAAGATTTTTTTATATATTCCTTTGTAAAATTTTGCATTTTGGCCCCACCCTACCCCCGGGGGTCATGAGAACAAAATTGAATCTACACTACCTGAGGATGATTCCACATGAGTTTCATCTTTCATGGCCCAGTGGTTTTGAGAAGAAGATTTTTTAAAAATGCCATTAATTTTTCTTAAAGAAATCTCCCCTTGGAAAAGGGCCTGGCCCTTTGGAAAATTACCCAAGGATACTTTGTACCAAGTTTGGTTGAAATTGTGTTAGAAGATGAAAATGTGAAAAGTTTACAGTGACAACAACAAAAAGGCAACGGACAAATTTTGATCAGAAAAGCTCGGGTCAGGTGAGCTAAAAACGTTTGTTTTTATGAAATCAGTACCTTGCAATTGTGTACGCGTATTTGTATTCAATACAGATTCAAAAATGTTTTCTTGAGTAACGTATATTTCTGGTTATTTTATGTACGCGTAGCTTCACATTATTGTTTTCTTCTTGAGTCTCCGAAAGTCTAGACTACATGTAGCATCTGTGGTCCTGACACTTCATGTCAGAATTTTGCATTTATTCTGACTGGATAGAAGACAGTTTCAATAATTCATTTGGATAAAAAAAATTTAAAGAAAAATCTTCGGAAAATTTATTTAGTGCAAAAAGGTCGTATTAAGGATTTCCATCCCTAATAGGACCAACTTCCCTACCCGTCAAGTAAATAATACTCTGATATTATATTAAAGTATTTTATAGTAGAAAACTTTAAATCAAAAATGTCATTAATTAAGCAGTAGTTAATTAACAAAGATTGCATTGAAGTCTATGGGGAAAAGCGTTTTTTCAAAATAAAAATTCAAAAAATTTGAATATCAATAAATCCTGCGGTGGAAAGATGCATTGAAACATTAAAAATAGAATGACAATTTAAAACAATTTTTTTACCAGCTAATTTTTTTAATTGAATTTTTTTTATTAATTAAAAAAGGGGAGATAACTCTTACCAAAATTCAAGGTCATAAATTAGGACACATCAACTATATATTAGTAATAGTTATAATAAACTGGGTTTTCAATGCCTACATATCTGTTATGTATTCAATTTCATTGAATTTGTTCCTATTAGGGATTGAATACCTTAATTGCGAAATAAGTTAGTGCCAAAAGAAGGGCACTGTTCCTCATTTTTGTTTTGATTTTTAATTAAGCTATGTGTAGATTCTAAAAATATACTTGAAAAAAAAATCTAAACACTTTTGATAACAGGATCCAACCTCCACGATTATATAGAGTTTATATCTCTTCCCAGTTAATGGAACCTACAAACTAGAACGATTTAAAATAAACAAAAAAGATCTGTTTTGTCAAGGGAAATTCAATGGAATAATATTTTACAATCCAACCTCAACTTACTGGGGTATCAAGTTGATGAAACAAGAATATCAACAGTCTCGTTTAAAGTCATTTCGTAGGTTCTATGGCCGATACAATGACCTTGTCAGCAAATACAATTCATCATGAAGTCAAATGCTGACTGACTTTTTTCATACTGATTGTTGATCATTATTTACACAGAGTTGTCCATGTTTTTCGTTATGTACATTTGGAGTCCCCTTTATGAATAAGATATTGATTCTATGTGGGAGTTCTTTTATCTAACTTTTTTAAAATTGTTGATAAACACATGCCTTTAAAAGAAAAAGTCAAAATAAATGGATATGACATACTTACAGAAATGCATGAAACTCTGAAAATAACGATGAATATATCAGGGCATAAAAAATTAAGAAAAACAAGAATTTGTTGAAAGCTATTTCGACAGAAAATAAGCCTAAAGACATATCCAGTTAGCAATTTTTACATTATACAACATGTACATTTTTAAATAACATTGTTTTTAAAGATTCAAAAGATATTCGGAATGTTTTAATAATTATTTTTGTAACACTGGTCTCGATATAGGAAAACATTTTGATGACACTTTTTTATGCAAAAAAGAACAATCATTAAACTTTTGAAATAAAACATATGTCTGTATAAAGCAACATAGATGGTATATGGCAACTTTTATTTATATTGAAGTTCTTAATATATTTTTAATTTTTCACTGTCTTCATGTCAATTTGCAAATGATTGGAAAAAAGCACGTGTTGTACCACTTTTTAAATCGGGAGATGAATGTTTAGTTAACCTCTAATATAATTTTACTGTGTCAGCAAAATTTTAATTTCACGGATACTGAATTCCTTAATAACAGATTGTCAGTCTGGTTTTAGACCTAAGCATATTGTCTTATTTCTGAAGTAGATAGATGGCTGAAAAATATTGATGAAGGAAAAAATTTTAAGGAAAGCATTTTTTTCACAAGGTTTTATTGCACAAACTTAAATCATTTGGTATATCCTACGATACTTTTGAATGGTTTAAAGCTAGCAAATGTGTACAGAGAGTTATTTGGAAAGGTATACTGATGAAAAAAATTCTAAATAGGCCCACTATTTTTTATCTTGTACATAAATGACTATCCACAAGCACTGAAACATTCTCATGTAAATATGTATATGATACCTCACAAGATGTCTCTGTAGAAAACATAGAGTCAAAGATGTGTGAAGATCTGCAACGGAGTATATGTTGGATTGAGCAAAATAAATTAAGTATAAATTTGTTAAAACCAATGTATGCAAGCAAAATTATCTAAAACTAAATTTAGTTGTAAACAACCATGTTATGTGTTGACAAACAAGTTGATGAAAAGTCACATTGAAGACTTATATCAAAAGTCATTTCGTAGATATTTTATGTCAAATATGCATTGTTGAAGATTTTTAATACCATGATAACCTTGTCAGCAAAAAAATGAAAATTGAAAAAATTATTAATATTACAAATGCTAGGATCATTTTGAACATCTTTTACTGTCATGTTTACAAAACTGAATTGATGATCAGATTATTTACACACAGTATTACGTGGATTGATGCCTGATTATTTGAACGTGTTTAATTATGTATCAAATGTTAGTCAAAGACAAACTAGAAATTCCAATTCATGACCAAGGAGCACACGGCGCGTGTGACCGGTGGGAAAATATAAGAAGTGGACAAGTGTTTTATATTTTAAAAGAAACTATCTAAGAGAATGGCACCTGTGTCTTAATTTTGTTTAATATTCTTGGATTTCTTTTCTTTTTTTTTTAAATTCTTATAAGTTTTCTATTTCTTTTAAACTGTGTTTTACTAATATCTGTCTGTATTGTTGTAATGGTAAATCTAAAGTATGTCATCCTGGATAAATAAAGGATTTATTATTATTATTATTATTATTATTATTATTATTATTTCCAGGTCCGGGACGCCGGGTGTGGGTGGGAGGTCCTCCGATGTTTTGGAGGTCCATGTTTGCTCCGCTCGTATTTTGTAATGGTAAATCAGGCACGGATCCAGGATTTTTTCCGGGATGGGTGGGAGGTCCACCCCAGTCTCAAAAAAAAAATTCAAACGCAGAAATTTCTTGAGAGGTCAAAAAAAAAAATCATTTCCAAACGTGAAAAATCTCAATTTTGACTTTTACAGCTTCATACCTTTGACTCTTCTTGCCATTTTCACATAGATCTGCGTTTCGAGGTGGGATACGCATTTTCGGGGGGGGGGGGTCCAAGTTAACCTTTGCTTGGTTTAGATAATACATTTTATAACTCCGAAAATTCCAGGGGGGGTGGGGGTGTCCGCAACCCTTCTCTACATCCGCGCATGCTAATGGACTTTTTAGCTCGAATACTGTACGTTTTCCCCACATATTTTACCAAAATAAGCATAGGGTTTATATAGTCACTTTGCCTTTGGAAAGAAACTGCTTGAAAAAACTATTGTTAGAATACTAGTATTCTTTTGTTCGTGCCGTGGTGTATCAATTTTAAATACAGGTGATTGTGATTGCAAGACTTTTGTGACTCCTGTGTTGTCTGTCATACTAAGTATATTAATTTCAATGCAAAATTCTTCTTGTTCTTTTTTTTTTTTACAAATATTTTTACCAATAATGTGACAAATATGTTCCCTAGTTCCCTTGTACTACATTACTATCGATAATGACATCCGACTTTTTTAAGCGCGAGTTATTTTAAAATATTACTAGGACGAGTTGCCTATTATAATTGATCCGAATTTTCTCAATTGACGAAACCGCGGCAAATCTAAATTTATGGTCTGATAAGATTATGCCATTTCAACGATTTTCTAGATCTAGACGACAGCCTAAATGGATATTCAAACAAATTCTAGCAGATAATATTTCAAAACGCCCAGCACATCCTGCAAAAATTGTCAAAGTAAGTTAGACAAATGCAAACGATAAAAAAGTGAAAGGTACTGTAATGTCAGTAAATGCTGTTTCTGCTGATGCTGTATTCAGCTAATGTGTTGGAGAATTAAGTTCATTTGAGATTCAGTAAATCATTGAATGGTTTTCTTTTTGTAGCATGTATCAGGACCTTTAGCAGATGGAAGTGTTGTAAAAGAAATCAGCGATTTTGAAGTGTACATCAAAGCCGTCTTTAGTCCAGAGTCTTTGAATGAAATCAGAAGGTGTTTTACATATCCACTCTTAAGATTTTTATATAAATTACCATTTTTTTCACATGTATACTGTATATGATGCTACATGTACAAACGACAAGAAAATTATAACTCCTAGTATGACATTTTTCTCAAAGCTGAAATTTAGGATACAATTAACATGATTAGGTCTGGCACAATCTCTTGATTAAGCTATTTTATCAGACTTTTTCTCAAATGTGTTATTTTTTCAACATTTGCAAAAAGTCGCACCTTGGTGCAGTGGAAATATAAAACTTTGAACTCTTCTGAATACAATGCATGTAAAAATCATTCACTAAATTGTGTCTCCTTGAGAGACTTTGTACTCAAAATTTTGAAAGTTTTGGGGCTATTGATGAGTGACCACACAGTTATTTCCTGAATGAAATTATAAAGGAGGTCAGTTATGGCCAACAGGATAATTGATTGGTAAGAGTTCAGCACTGAGAAGCAATCATACTTATACCCATGCCTCACCGCACGCAAAGTAGTGGACAGTTACTCAAACAATAGAAATTCATATCTTGCTTAAATGTATTCAACAGCAGCAATGTTAGAACTTTCTATGATTTAGGTTGTTTTCTGATAGCCCATTGCACATAATGAATAGTCAAATATATGCGACTTTTTGTTTTATTCTTGCAAAAAACGTTTTTGTGAAAAACTGCATATAAATAGCTTTATCAAGCTATTTTGAATAGCTTAATAAAGCTATACAGCTTAATCAAGAGATTGCGCTGGACCTGATGATTAAGGTACAATATACATAATACGTATAAGTAAACTTTTTGTCTTCTGATTTTAAATCCTGTGTTTTATTCATTTTACCAGGCATGTTTAGACATTTTATGTTTTCTAATTTTTCTCTTTTTAGCGAATATGACTCGGAGTTGGACTGGAGTAAAGCTTTGATTATTTTGAACAAGTACACTGTAGAATTCAAGTCCCATGAGGAACTAGTAAGCAATAGTTAAGATATAACATTTATTGGAGTTCATTTGTTACTCACACAATTTGCAATAGCCCCTTAATTCTCTAAATCTGTCTGCAATGTTATTTTTTTTATGAGTCAAAAAGTATTTTTGAGTACTTTTAGTACTGTCTAGTCAGTAACATACTAGCCAGTTAACAGCTATTTTTCCAGTTAGTTTCTAGTCAGTTTACATCACTGCAATCAGGAAACAGAGATATACTACACTTACATATCAATTTCTGTTTAAAAATTCTTACTTTTATATACATATTTTTTTTATTTAGAAATTTTGTGAATTCTACATCAGAGTGGAGAAATTCCAAATATGGGATGTACAAGAAGCCTTTGATCTAAAAGAAGGTGTCAAATTCTGGTAAGTATTTCAAAAGTAATGATTATTAGAAAGGAACTTGGTATTCTGGTTTCTCCTAAGGAGTAGATGACCAGTGTAGATTTTGATGTTGAAAAGCCAGGGTCAGAGTACTTTAGAATTGATAGTTTTTGATAGGCCTGAATTTAGATATTTCATGTTTGAAACCATATTGGAGGCCCAACAAGTGAATTTTCCTCTTTGAGCAACCAAGTATATGCTCAAATGACAGAAATGATATGGGCAAAAAACTTTAAAATACTAAAAGTACGAATTAAAGAAAGCTTGTGTTAAATTGGTAAAAAAAATTGTGTTATCTTCACCCAATAACTCAGTATGACAAGTTTAAATTGGTTGAATAATGAAGGAAATCTGGCTTGTACATGTATACCTCCAATTTATGAAGAACAATGGGAAATAACTCTTGCTAGATTACAGGGCTAGACAAATAGCATTGCCCGACGCCCGGGACAACCATTTTTGGTTGGTGGGCAAGTAATTTGATAACAGGTACCTGCCCGCGGACAAGTGCTTTTCCAATTAACAAAAAAAATCATGTACGGTACTCAAATATCTTTTGTGTAAGGCAAAAAAAAATTAATTTCTTGGTTCTCAGGCCCTCCCTCATCTCTTCCAAGGGTGCCTCATTGACCATTTTTATTCAATAAAATATAAACCAAATCACCTCCCTCATCATTTTTTGAGGTTTTGTACAATGTAAAAAGCTGCCTCATCATGTTTTGGGGGCAATAAAAAAGAAAAAAAATGCCTCCCTCCCTCATCATATTTCTTGAAAAAAGGCCTGAGAACCAAGTAATTAACTTTGCATGGCCTAATCACTTTTAAAGTATCATGAATCACAGCAAAGCACCTGTTTTCACCTGTTGTTGACCACTGCATCAGCTGTACATACATACATTGAATAGTCGGAACTCCTCTAGAATTTACCCATTAACATGTTAAAATATGCAGATGTCGTAAAACATGGAGTTATCGATGTCGTCAAAAACATTGTGTGGGAATTTAGACATTTATTGTTTTGGATACAGATGCTAGTGATATTAAAATTGTTGTCGATTGCTGTTCCCTGGCAATCACACAGCCATGATGTCGATCTCTTAATGGACATGAAGTTGCTAGTGTTTGTTCTGTTCACAGATCGTGTTGTATGTAGATATACATGTAGGTTTTATGAAATTGATCACTGTCCGATATTTTCACCCTTTTCCATGAAATTAATACAACATATTTTTTTTTTTAAAAAGTGTAATCTTATTGCAGAATTTTGAGGAAGAATACTCCTTAAAATTAAACATTTTCCTCTAAATTTATCTGTGGAAGAATTTCGTGATTTTAGATCTAGGATGGTCTTTGTGTAGTGTTTAGGTGTCTCACTCAAAAATAATTTAATATCCAATACTTCAATTCTGTGTAATTTAAGAAAAAGGTGGGACAAGCATATTTTTTGGTAGGACAAGTAGTTTTATGATGGTAACCTGTCCTAGTTCAAGTACTGCAAAATTCTATTTGTCTACCCCTGCTAGATTGTAGACTAACAAAAACCATCCATAGGAAGATATTGGCTGTTCAATACCTTGAAAACTCTTTGCTTGACAGGCTTTAAACTTACACTTCTTTCCATCAAGAATTAGATGATTGCTGTATATTTGAGGTCACCAGGTCAAAGGAAGGGGTCAAAGTGGACATCCCGTATTCCGAATATATTGACCGCTCAGTATCTTGATACACTGATTCTCAGGATGTCTCCTTTTGCTTATGAGATCGAACTGAACAAACAAAGATACTTACCATCAATATCTCAAGAACCTTTTCCTTGACAAACGTCAAACTTGGTAAACTTGGTTACCCTTATTGGGAAGATGGCCTCTACTGATTTTTAGAGCACAAGATTAAGCTAGGGGCATACTGTAGTATATGCTTCTCAACCAATGTTATTTAGCTTGTTCATATTAATATGAAGAAAGTAAAGTTCACATGGCCAATACCATATGCTTAATTTGCTTTCAATTAAAAAGAAATAGTCATGAATGCATACCGGTATTTATTTTAAGGTGTAGTACCTTTAACTTTGGAGTTCTTGCAAAGGTAACATGAATTAAATGATTTGTCATGTAAGTTTCATTCTCATACAATCTTACACTGAACATTTTAACACATGATAAATTTTATTGCAGCATGGACAACACAGCTGTCCAGGAAAGGGCAAAGGTCAAATGGGATGAAATGAGGTAATCTACTAGCATCAAAGTATCAATGAGATTCTATTGAGTAAAAAACTGAAAACAGAGAGTAAAAAAAATGATTTTATTTAAATTATTTATTCATAATGAAAATTACCGTATAAGTGGAAATTTTAGCGAGACACAAATTTAGCGATATCTACCCAGAATCTGGTATTTTATTTTTAGCAAGAAGTAATTTTAGCAATTTTAAATGCTTACTAAAGTAGCTATTACAAATAATACGCAATTAATTCTTAGGGAAATTCAATATTAGAGATGTCAGCACCCTTGCTAATAATGCCAAAATTAAACCCCCGCTAAAAATTCTACTTATACAGTATGATCAAATTAACATAGAAAGCACTTATATTGCTTTAAATCGCAATACTGTAATTAATAATCTGTTTATGGTGGCACGATGCTACCTCTGGTAATTAATAAAACCTTACATTCCACTACCATTATACTTAAGCATTTGTAAAAGATTATTCATATTTTTGGATTCAATACACTATATTTCTTTTAGTGAGTGTTATATTTTTCAAATAACTTTGTCTATTATAGGAGCTGTCATTCTGAGAGTTTTTCCTTGACCCAATTCCTGGAAGCCATGATAGAAAATACCTCAACACTGAGCCCTAATCCCAAAGGAAGTGATTCCCTGAATACACCACCCACTCTGGAGGAATCCCAGAGCTCTACAGTCAATAGTAATAATGTCATTTCCATTTAAAAATCTGCCTGAAAACAAAAATACTGATAGGTCAAGTGTAAAAGGAGATATTAATCAAGTTTAGGTTTTTTAAAAAAGTGTTTAATATAAATAATCTGGTTTGATAAAAGAAACATTTATTTGTTCAATTTTTTATTTGGATTTAACCAATTACAGATATAGCAAAGTAATTTCAAAGGTTTCAGTGTCTTGGTTATAACTGAGTTTTACTGTAGTTGAATGTGTAATAGAATGATTGTTATGTTATTACAGATGCTACTGAAGGAAGACCAGAGAATAACCTTCAATCAACCTTTGATCCATGTGAATTTATTATCAGTAACTCCCATCAGAAAGAGTTAGAGAATATAAAAGGTTTGCTGTTCTAAATAGGCAAATAATTTTCAAACTTTAAACTGATTCAACTTAAGAAATGATAATGAACATATATACATTTTCTCATTAAGAAATAAAAATTGCAAATACAAAAAAGAAAAAATATCATCATGGAGAGAAGAATTATAAAATGTTCCAATCAGGTTACCTATAATAAATATTATTTTCTTTGTAGAGTGGGAAGAGAATTACATTCCCACCCAGTCTGAGAATGAATCTCCACCCATGGACATAACCAGTTATCAGCCATCACAGGTTGTAGGCAGTTCTGATGACATCCAACCAGGTCTGCTCTTATATTCTCTCACTAAATTAAAACTAACTTCAGTTCAGTGTTAGGAATATCTGAATGACGCGAACGTTTCATGGCTTTGTTTTGTTTTTGAACATTTCTTTATTTCATTGTGATGTTCTGAAGAGTATTTTCACAGTCATGAAAATAATTCATTGTGGATGGATTTCAAACTGAGGACTGTAAATCAACTATTATTAGTGTCATCTTTTATTTGCAATTCGTCAGTTTGAAATTAATTTGCGACAATTAATTTTCATGACCGAGGAAACATTCTCTACAAATACCGTATAAGTGGAAATTTTAGCGAGACGCAAATTTAGCGATTTGTCCTTAAAAACTGGTCATTTATTTTTAGTGAAATGTTATTTTAGCGATTTTAAAATGCATATTAAAGAAGCTATTACAAATAAAACGCAATTAATTTTTAGCGATATTCAATTTAAGCGATCTCGACACCCTCGCTAATAATGCCAAAATAAAATCCTCGCTAAAAATTCTACTTATACGGTACTTAAGGAAAATGAATGGTTCACAGTGATTAATATTAGGGAGTTAGAGTAGGTCGCGGATCTTGTGGATATTTCTTGTACGCGAATAAAAGTTGGTTTACAGTAATTGTGGAAGAAAAAGTTTTATTAAATAAAAGTTTTTTAGCTCACCCCAACGATTTCTATTTTTTACTCACAACTATCGTTAAATTTGTCTTCACATTTGGTTTTGTATTTATATTTTGCAGGCCAACCAAATCAGGATCAAGAAAAGATCACAATAAACACAGATAAAAAGAAGTCTAAAGAAAACAGAATGGCTGATAAAGTAAGAACAGTTTTTAGCTAAGCTCAACTAAGTTGGGGGAGCTTATGAAATACCGTCAGTGTTGGCGTCCCAGGTTAAGGTTAATTTTTTTGGAGCAGTTTTTTTTTTAAGTACTTCTATGTCCTATATTGATAAGACGCTTCTTGTGTGTTTCATTGTACCAGCCAAGGTTTCAGATGCTGCATTTTCAGCAAAGGAATGCCCAGGTTAATGTTTTGGAGAAGGTTTAACATTTTTGGTGCAGTTTTTGGTGTAGGTCTCATTTCCAAGTAACTATAAGCCCTATGTTGACCAAACTTGCAAGGATGATACATCTTAAGATGCACACTACCAGGCTTGCTTTGGATGCTGAATCTGACCTACATTTTCCGGATGAGTGAAAATGTTAAAGTTTTTGGTGTAGGTCTCATTTCCAAGTAACTAAAAGCCCTATAATGACCAAACTTGCATCGATGAAACATCAAAGGATGCACACTACCAGGCTTGCTTTGGATGCTGAATCTGACCTACATTTTCCGGAAGAGTGAACAGGTTAATGTTTTTGGTGCAGGTCTCATTTCCAAGTAACTATAAGCCCTATAATGACCAAACTTGCATTTATGATACATCTAAGGATGCATACAACCAGGTTTGCTTTGGATGCTGAATCTGACCTACATTTTCTGGTTGAGAGAACAGGTTTAAGTTTTTGGTGCAGGTTTCATTTCCAAGTAACTATCAGCACTATGTTGAGCAAACGTGCATGGATGATACATCTAAGGATGCACACTTATGGACTTGCTTTGGATGCTGAATTCAACATACATTTTCCAGATAATTGACCATGCAGGTAAAAAGGTATGGATGCAAGTTTTAGGATAGGTCTACTGCAAAGTAACTGCAAGTCCTATCAGATCAACATGATCAAATTGCATAAATTTTGCATTTTTGGATATACACCTTTAGAATGTTGTTTAATTTTGTGACTTTGCCTTACTTAAAGACAACATTCGTTGAGGTGAGCTCTGTAATCTCTGATTACCTATGTTTATATGAGCACTGAAGAGTTTTAGCTAGCCTAAGATTAAAGCTGAAGTTACTCTTCAGACACCTTTTGTCCAGTGTGTGTCTCAATATTATTGACCTATGGTATTTCCTCAAGAACCACTGGCCAAGCTCAAGCAATTATAGCTCAGAGAATCTTTGAATAAAAAGGACTCAAAACATTGCTTTAAAAAAGAAGAGTATTTCCCCCTTCAAAGTGGAAATAATCTGAATAGGCATGGATATGATGAATCATTTAAAAGGTCTTTACTCAAGAACCGTTTGGCCAGCACACTCCTGTTAAATTTGTTTGTTCAGAGGGCAGGTTATTCAGTTTTTATCACAGTAGTCATGCATGTTACAATTTATCACTTTTTGAGTACATGTACATGTATTTTGCAATTTTGAATTGTCTTGGATGCATGCTTTTCTTTTCATTTGTCACGATTTCTAACAGTATACAGGCTTTTTAAGAACATGACATTATGATAGAAGGGCATCTGGTAAATGATTTCATTTTGTAGGAGACAGCCAAACCAAAGGAGAAGGAACAGACATCTCAACAAGATGCATCACAGCAGTCTAAAAATAAAAACAATACAGAGGTATGTACTAGTCCAAGTGATGCCATTGTTGGAGCTACACAAGAGTTTATCCCACAGCTTGGCTATGATGACATGATGGGCACTGCCCCTTTTTCGCCTCATCTGAGTCCAAATAGCACTGGAGAACAGAAGAGTCCTGCTAATAATTCAGGCAACAGTGTGTTATTTCAGGAAACCTCTCCCATTCTTATCTCCAGTTCTGGTGAGACTAATAAAAGCTCATCAGAAACGCCTAGTAATAGTGGAAAAGGAAGTGAGGAAAATCCGAAGTGTTCCTCTGATGAGCCTCAGTTTCATCTTGAACCGCCTATTATTAGTCCAGAGACTCTGGCAGATAAAAGTCGGGAAAGCCCACGATTGCAATACCTGACTCGATCTGCTAAGAAAACATTTCAGGACCATTTTGAAATGATGATTGAAAGTGAAAGGTTGAAGGTTCTAGCTGGTGACAAACAACCGAGGAGCAGGAAAAGATTACTGGATGAATCAAGTGAGGAAGAAACAGTGGACAAGAGGAAAAAATTAAGTGATAATGACACAGCAGTGACCGAGGAGAAAAATAGTGAAAAATCAAATAATGAGGGCAGGAAAAGTTTTGTGTCTAATATGATGGATAAGTTTCTGAATTTTGTGGGCAGAAGCCCTGATTCTAGTGGTGAAAAAAGTACAAATGTGAAAGACAGAAATTCTGTGGATTTAGAGGAGAACATTCTAAACTTAACAAATTCATTTTCTGGTGAACTGTGTGAAGCGTCTCAGTCTATATTGCAGTCAAGTAGAAAAGTTAATATAGAAGGAGTTCTAGAGGAAAGAAAAAGTGACTCACCTAAAAAATCCAAAAATTCACTCAGAGTTACAAGTGAGAGAACTTTTACTGTGAGTAAAACTGTTCAGGGTGGAAGTGAGGGTATTAAGGAGACAGAGGGGGTGATCTTGATCAGTGACAGAAGCATGGAGGGTGACAGCCAAGAGGGTAAGATTCAGATACTAGTACAATTACCAAAGGGACCTAATTTTTTCGCAGACCAAAGTTATTCTCCAAAAAATATCTGATGTTACACAATAAACCATAAGGGTATTTTTTATTAAGTTCTATGAGTCAGAGAACCAGAAGAGCTATTGTGATAGTAAGGTGTCAAAGCTACAATAATGTACATGTATTTTTCAATTGTTTTGATTTGTATACATGATACATAGATGTAAAAAGTTGTGACTTTTTAAACATGTCTAAAATTCAGCTTCTATCTACAAAGCCTTTTTAGCTAGAACTCGAATAAAAGTAATTGATGACCACAGTTTTAAATTAAATGTTATACTAATAGTCAAGATTAAGATTTACAACATTGAATAAATTATTGAATCATAAAAAATCTTTCTACGCTATTTTGTAGTTAGCCAACAGTCCTTAATACCTGTTAATCCTGAAAGGGAGGCCAAAGACCAGACAACAATGAAAGAACAAGATCAAGGTAGGACAATCATTACATGTATTAGTTTTGTAACATTGCAAAGAATTCTTTAGAGCATATGGTCCTCATTCCTAATGGCATTTCTTATGAGTAAAAAAATTGAAAATGACATAAAATTTGTGTTCCAATATTGTGTATTTTCTTTTTAGAAATCTCATCCTCTCTTGGATCCGAGATACCTGTGGTGGTATGTATGATCAATAGAGGTTCATTACTTAGATAATTACATTTAGGGTTGGATAATATTTGATAATTTTGAAATGCATGTATGATACAATACTTTTTTGGTGATATCTAGAATTGTAAAAAGAAAAAATGTAATATACATATTTGGCTACGACAATTTTGATGTAAACCACTTCACATAATGGTTAATTAAATTAAAAAGTTAGCAATGTCAATGTGCACTTGTCAGTCATAGGCAACTCACAGAGCAAGGGAAAATATGCCTCATTTCTTAACGTAGGATCAGTAGTTGTTGAACAATTCAATGCCTTGTATTAGTGCACCACCCTTATTACAGTCTAATCTCACATACATGTTTTATATCAATGAAACAAATTCTGCATTTTATGCGAGTGCTTTGTATAGATTTTTGACTCGTAGACTTCAAGTCACCATAAAATCAATTTACAAATGAACTGTTGATCAAGAGTTTCTACATTAATTTCAACACCATAAAAATAAAAGTGAGCAATTTTGTTTCATAAGAGGTGCTTTTCTGAAAATTATGATACTTAACTCCTCTGTGACAAGTATATTCAGGAATTTAAGTTCTTTGGAGACCTTGTTCATTCATGGTTGCTCTTCTAAAAATATTTAATTTCCTGATTTTAATCCTCTTTTCTCAAAGATGAATTAACTGTTTTGCAGAATGAATGTTGTCAAATGTTTTTTTTTTAATTAACAGATAGTTTTACCAAAGCAAGTTGAACCACAGGATGAAATAGGACAGAAATTATACCATCTTAAATTACCACCTGATTTAAAGACTAGAATAATAAATTACTGGAAACAGTAATTCATATTAACAGTATTGATTGTTCATTGTGATTAGGGATGTCAAAATATTTATTTTCCTTAGTCGATCATTCGATTGCATTATTCGAACGATAGTCGACTATTCGGAAATTTTTTTTTAACTCATCGATAGCGTATTTATTACTCTAAAACCCTTTTCATAAATTTATGTGAAAAGTTACAGCAAATACTTATATAATGTATTACACACCGATATTCAAAGGAACATAAAAAATGTAAAGTAGGGTTAAATGTTGAAATGAAATTTAATTAATTTATAATTGGTATAAGTCCAATTATTAATTTTCAAGTATAGCGCTACATAATTTACCACAATAATACAAAAGGTCAGTAATTAAGAAATAATTATTGCGGTATGAAATTACGGGACTTTACATATGTACAATGTGGAAAATTATTGTGTTTGAGTTCTTATTCCTATGTGGACATATACATTAATGGTTTGAGAAATGATGCGTTTTCAAATTTTGAGATGAGAGTTTCTTTATTACCTCCTTTTCTTGCATTTATTTAATATTCGAATGTCGTTTCATTATTCGATCGTCGGTCCATTCGACTGATAGTCGAATAGTCGACTATTCGTTGACATCCCTAATTGTGATAGATTATTAATTAGATTTTTCAGGCTATGGCAACTTGTTTCTCTTTGCTTATTTATTACTGATGTTTTCTGTTTCATAGTTCTATGTTGCTTAGTTGCTCAGCAATATGTAAAGAATAAGTGACTATCATAGATCAAAGTATGCCAGTTGTCTATAATCAAACCTAAATTTTAAGTCAGCTCATGAAATGGACTTCTGCATAATTACTGTGTACAGGGAAATTTTAAGATGTTTTATCTTCACCCCTTTCGCCCTACTCATCATGCTCATAATTGGGCGAATTTAAAACAGGGTGAAAAACAAAGAATACTGTATAATTTCTTAAAGAGAACTGTAAATGGGAGAATTTTAAACAGGACAAAATTGTTTACTTATGTGAACAAGCAAAAATAATGGACAAAAATAATCCTGTATACACATGTACAGTACCTAACCATTGTCAACTTTAAATATTATCTGAAACTGAATATCAGGATACACTCTACATATACATTGTAACATGTATATCAATTTGAAATTTATGCTAAGTTGAGGAAAGTTTTATATACAAATGAAAGAAATGTAATATTAAACAAAATACATGTACATGTTTACCATGTGGTTTGATTCCAAGTTTTATATTTAAGTAGGATGTGTCAGGTTAAGCGTCAGTTTAAGGACGTTCGATCCTGATATTTTGAGCGTATTTCGCGCAGGTCCTTTATTCATAAAAATAAGGTTCATTTTTAGGTTCTAACAATAAAACTGAATTCTACAATCCAAATTAAACTATATTCAATGAAAAAAACGCGATTAAATTCCATTCAAGTAGAATTAAGCTAGGGACTATATTTTGTGGCGGAAGGTTTTTTAGACGAAAATGGTCAGTTTTTTTCCATTTGAACTATAACAGTACTGTTAATTTTGGATGCCTATTTTTCCATGCTGGTTGAACACAAGGGTGTTTTTTGCAGTGAAATATGTTATGCTGGTTCTGAAATATCTATTAAATTATTTCTTATGAATTCTATCAACAAAGTGTGACAAATATAGTAAATATATTCTGAAAATCCGGGGAAAAATTGAGCCAATTTTAACGTAAAATTCACACTTTTTTAGTAATATCTGAAAATGTACATCATATACCCCCACTTTTGATGTTCTTTTCTAAATATTCAAGATAACTTTGAGCTATTTGCTTAAAATCAGAGAAAGTTTAAGACTTTAAAATAATTTTCTTGCTTATTATATTTTCAATGCCGGAAAAATAACATTTTATTAGTGCAGAAAGGTCAAATAATTGATTATGCGAAGCAATTTGAAACTTTTTCTTAGTCACAATTTTTAAGTGTCTTTTTTTAAACAGACTTAGAGTTCATTTTGTTTCATGCTTTCATTGGATAAAAATATTGGAGGGAAAATGTCTAAGATGTAATTTTTAATTAAGACACAAATTTCAGTGCAGAAATGTCATATTAAATGTACTGTAGCGCTAAAAGAAGCATATTGACCCCCATTTTTTGATTTGAATTTTAATTAAGCTATGTATGTAGAAACTAAAAATATACTTGGCCAAAAAAGTTTAAGACTTTAAATATCAGGATCGAACGTTGTTAAGCATCAAGTTACATGTAGCATTGTAGCCCCTCTTTTCTCTGTTTTTGATGTTTTCTTCAGCTTTGTTCATTTCTTTTTCATGAAAATAATGTTTAATAAATTTATATTATCAAAATAATGTTGTTTTTTTTTAGTATTGTACATGTATAAAAAGTTACATAATGAATGCAAATTACATTATATATACTTGTAAAAAGAGCCAATTTTATAACACACAATGTTTTACCGGTACTTTATATAATTTCTGAATCCAAAGAAAGGGTTGAAAATACAATTAGGCTTATTTGTTAAAAGAGCAAGGATCATCCATTCACAATTTGTATTATCAATCTTAGAGCAAATATTTTAAATTCTGTGGTAAAAATTTACTGTCTTTTTCCTCTTTATACCCCTTGAAACCTTATAAATTATGATTTGTGTATTCGTACAGTAAAATTTTAAGGAATTTTACATGTACCCATCTTGAGTCCTCATAATCTGAATCTGGGATTTCTTTAGAATCTAACTCCCCTTTATATTGTAATATGCAGGGGAGAGTCAGAGTGCAGGTCTGACATATTATTGAAAAGTGGGAATTCAGCTACACCCAGCTGGTGTCAGGACTCTGCCTATCTTTTACAACTTTACTCTTCAGATCTAACTGCCAAGATGCTAGAGATTGGTGAATAGACAATTCTTCTACAACTTATGGATAATAAACACTGCATGTTATTGCCATTCAAATAGCCCTATCACAGACAAATGAGGTATCATTGAAGTAGGTTGCCTTAACACCATTTGACTTCTTTGATCATGACCTAAGCACACAAACAATCACTTGAACAAAGTGTGTGGATGGTGCTGTGAACACCATGCGCAAAGAAGTCAAATGGTGAAGATGCTTCATTTGTCAGTGATAGGGCTGTTTGAATGGCAATATCATACTAGTGATAACTAAGTTTTAGAAGAATCATCTGCTTACTGAAATTTTGCATCTCTGAATTTTGATCCCTCAGAATGTGTCAACTTAAAAGTGGTCACAGTGACCTACTTTTGGAATTTTACGATATATTGAGATACCCACTGGCTTTGAATCATCAAACTAAGTTGATCATTACCAAAAGTAGGTCATTGTGACCTTTTTTTGGAATCTCTTGTTATTTATAAATGCTAATTTAATAATTTAAGATAAGGGGCTTAGAATCATCAAACCTCTGTCAGTTGATGTTTTAACCAAAATGTAGGTCATGTTGACCTTCTTTTGAAATTTCAAGGTGTTATCTTAATATACAGGATACTTAGAGCCTTCAAATAGAAGTGATAGACTGTATAATTTTTTAGAAGAGTGATTCAAGGCCCCTTGGCCTCTTGTTTTTGTTTTTTTATTGGGAAATAACTGAATAATATTCATTCAAAAATGCTGGTGACCATATACGCATTACATCAAATTATACAGAGAATTTGAAACAATTTTATTGATACAATTCTATATTAACACTTGTAACATCATCAGTTACTCGTTCTAAGATCACAGTGCCACCATTATAAATAGTCTCTTTTGTTAATAGAGTGTCAATAGTTTGATCAATAGGTAACAGGCATCCATCATCACAAGAAAACAGTCGTAGTTTCTAAAATAAAAAAAACAAGAGGCCCATGGGCCACATCGCTCACCTGAGTAACTTGGGTGAAGCAGATCTTTACCAGATTCCCCCTCTTGCTATACCTATCATGCCCAACAACCCCCTTCCCTTTTTTATTTTAAAACTTTAGAATCTACACTACCCAAGGATGCTTCCATATAAATTTCAGCTTTCCTAGCCCAGTGGTTCTTAAGAAGAAGATTTTTAAAGATTTGTTCTATATATTTCTATGTAAAACTTGGATTCCCTATTGTGGCCCCACCCTACCCCCGGGGGTCATGATTTTAACAATTTAATATCTACACTACCCAAGGATGCTTCCACATAAGTTTCAGCATTCCTGGCCCAGTGGTTCTTGAGAAGAAGATTTTTAAAGATTTGTTCTATATATTTCTATGTAAAACTTGGATTCCCTATTGTGGCCCCGCCCTACCCCCGGGGGTCATGATTTTAACAATTTAATATCTACACTACCCAAGGATGCTTCCATATAAGTCTCAACTTTCCTGGCCTAGTGGTTCTTGAGAAGAAGATTTTTAAAGATTTGTTCTATATATTTCTGTGTAAAACTTGGATTCCCTATTGTGGCCCCGCCCTACCCCCAGGGGTCATGATTTTAACAATTTAATATCTACACTACCCAAGGATGCTTCCACATAAGTTTCAGCTTTCCTGGCCCAGTGGTTCTTGAGAAGAAGATTTTTAAAGATTTGTTCTATATATTTCTATGTAAAACTTGGATTCCCTATTGTGGCCCCACCCTACCCCCGGGGGTCATGATTTTAACAATTTAATATCTACACTACCCAAGGATGCTTCCACAAAAGTTTCAGCATTCCTGGCCCAGTAGTTCTTGAGCAGAAGATTTTTAAAGATTTGTTCTATATATTTCTATGTAAAACTTGCATTCCCGATTGTGGACCCGCCCTACCCCCGGGGGTCATGATATTAACAATTTAATATCTACACTACCCAAGGATGCTTCCATATAAGTTCCAATATTCCTGGCCCAATAGTTCTTGAGAAGAAGATTTTTAAAGATTTGTTCTATATATTTCTGTGTAAAACTTGGATTCCCTATTGTGGCCCCGCCCTACCCCCAGGGGTCATGATTTTAACAATTTAATATCTACACTACCCAAGGATGCTTCCACATAAGTTTCAGCTTTCCTGGCCCAGTGGTTCTTGAGAAGA